CTGCTGCTGCAAGAGACAGTAAACGCAGTGTTAAGTGGTTTACATGTCATTTGGGGGCACTGACCTTTTTTGCCGGGTGCTAATGTCCCATGTGTTCAAGGTCATGTGGTCATATCATGCGGTGTCACGTGTACCACGCTACTCACAATATTTCATTGCTGACATTGCTTTGTATTCGGGAGGTCTGGGTTTCGATTCGCGGTAGAGAGACCGACTATCAGAACTAGGCTTTTTCGTGAGTTTTTTCAATTCTACTAAGCAATTTCTGGGAAAGTGCTTTGAGATTAAACCGTTTCCTTCCACATCGTTCCTTATTCATCTTCACCATTCTCCCATAATTCGATGTATATTCCTCACTGTGAGGAGACGTGATAAAGGAAAGACAGGTGGTATTTTAAGTGACCACTTCGAACGAGGTGCCTCCAGTAAAATGTTGCATGCACGTATTTTCTGTCGCGTCGAAGCGAAACCGTGACAAGGAACAGATTCGTGTTTGATATATTTTGTAATTTGTGATGATAGCGAGTCAAATATGCTAAGACATCTGCATATGTTAACCTGTAGGGCAGGTTCCTAGCCTACCTATGCAAGAAGAGTCATGTGCTAGAGGAATGAATAATAGTTCTGTAATACAAAGTCACGGACATTATGAAACAAGTAACTTACTTGTGCGGTAGACTGGAGAAATGTAAGGTGAAATCTAGCCTTGAGAAGTTTTTAATAAGTATTCCTTCTGTTCGTATGGTTCTGTCTCACACATTTGCGTATAGAAACAGACAGTTAATAATTAAGAAAGGGTAATGTTCTGACCTTTGACACTTTAATTTCAATACAGTATTTTCATACTCGAGGCTAAAGTTAAAATCATTAAATGGTAGCGAAGCAAGTAACAAACCGACTAACTTTATCGTATCGAAAGTCGTTGTCGTGTGTTTCGTTTTCGTGAGATCCCGGGTTCAAATCTCAGTCCGGAGACCGGCTGTCCGGACTGAAATTTTCGAGGTTTTCCTCACTTTCTCCAGGTAAATGCCGGTATAGTATCTTAGATTAGGTTACGGCCGCTTCCTTTCACATCCTTTCCAATTCATTATTCACGATCATCCTCTTAATCGACGCTATATAGTCTGAGTTACTGAAAAAGCGTCCTTAAATAAACTATTAGTAAATAAACTTTATCGTAGCAGAACCGAAAGGTTATACACTGCTAATGAGAAAGTCTGGCACGATGTTGAATCACTTTCACGTATCTTTCATCCTAACATAACCTAACCTAAGATTCGTCTGTCTTTCTAGCAACGGTGAGGATATACGCTGTTCTTCTGAGTTTTGGCGCCATGTATACCCGTCGGTAGATCCCGACGAATCCACACGACGCCAAAACACAGAAATACAGCATTAATATTACTTACTTGTTTAGTCAGTTGCCCACTTCGCTGGATTTTAAAGCACTGAAGAAAACCTGGGCTCTCGGTTCAATGACGTGGCCTTCGGAGCTCTTAGCAGAGGCAAACAGTAAAAAAATTTAATCATCTGTGACGTCGATCATGACTCAGGACCTATCGTTATGCTAATGAACGTATAGTACGTCTATTGACGATTGAAGAATGCTTAATGTGTTAAACTTTAAACTGAAAACACTAAAATTCGTAGGCTAGCTACAAAGCTGTTAAATCAGGTGGTAAGTATAATGGTGTCATTTGTAAGTTATAGAAACTTGTATTAAACTTTTTCTCACATTAAATCTCAGGCCTTCTCGAACCAAGTTTAATACCATGCGTGATCTTTATAAAAAGTGTAAATACGTGCTGTAAAATTGTGGACTGGGTCTACCACTGCACCCACAGATGTTTATTCTCATTACAAATACAACTTGGTATTTCAACAGGTATAAAAATGTTACAACCCATCGTTAAAGCAGAGCTACAAGGTTCCTTGCGAAAAATTGTAAATAGAACCCGTGGATTTGAAGGAAGGATACTTAAAATTTAGGTTACATCTCATTCAAATTACAATGCATCTCCTGATATTACTAAGATAAATTTGTTAACGTTGTTAAAATTAAACAAAATTATCCGTTAGTTTTATTAAATACTTCGGCCGTGTGAGCTTTTGTACTTACCGACGTTTCGAACATAAAGTTAACTGCTGACAGTAACTTGATAAACAATGTTACTTTTAGTACCTTGTCTTCATTTCGGTGCACATAAATCTCTTTGCCACATGCTCACACATGACCAGATTCTAGCGGTATCAGACTGCAAGGTCAGCTACTTTATTGTGTGAACGGAATACATGTATATAAGGCCAACGTTTCGTCAGAAAACTCAGGCATTTTAATGCAATGGCATAGGTATAATTTACATACTACGGACAACCTGTTTGGAAGAAAACCTGTCTTTAACGAAGAATTTCCCCAGTCCGTGAAAGATGCAGGATTCTTAAAAAGAAACGAGACGTTTGCACCAGTCAGCCACAACAATTAGTAACTTGATAAATGTACAAAAACACATCACGTTTTATGGTCACGTGTCATGTTTTATCCGCTAAAGCGCTGCTATCGTCGTTAGTTAAAAATGTCAGCGCCGTATTTGGGTTTTAGAGAATATCAGTGACTTCTGTTCAGCACCGCACAGACCAGGAAATCCATTAGCATGGAGTTCCATATTTTTCCTTTCTTAATTCTTCCCTCTTGGATCCTAATATTTTTCTTGAAGTTTTGTTTTCGAAAACTCGCAATTAACTGCATGCCATTTCCTCTGGTGAAAGATAATATCTGACAATCATCGAAAACAACTTTATTGTTTTGGAAGGTGAAGGGACTAGATTCAGGATGAGGTGACAAGGAGCATTTTTGGATTAAAATAATATTATGAAAATGTTTGTGTACATTGTATTATATCTCTCATAATCTTGAAAGTTTTAACAGCCTAATTGAGAAGCTGTGTTGACTGTGTTTGCGAACAAACAGGAGGGTAAAAGAATAACAAAACTAGGACCTCATTAATGTTCAAATATTGTTAGGATTACAAAGTCGAGTAGAATAAGTGAAATGAGAAATACATACACAGTTTTAGTTTGAAAATCTGAAGAGAAAAGAGGCGTAGATGTAATGATAATATTGAAACTGTATGAGATAAATAGTTTGTGGGGGTGCAGATTCAATATTCTGATTCAGGGTAAGTACCAGTTCACGCAATTGCGTACACTGTAATAAAACTTCCTGACTAGTTGATCGAATACGATCTTCTCAAGTATTCCTCTGCTAATTACGAGAATTAAATTGAATGATTTCTATTTTCGTAGATTTTTTCAGAAAAAAGTCACTACAAAAAACGTATATTTCTGACGGTTTGGATCTGAAATGAATGTAGTTACCACCTGAAAAGTAAAATAAGAAATTGCTGTATACTATATGCGAATTAGATATACATGTCGGTAAATATTTAATCACGTTGAAAGAGTATTAGAAAATGATCATTAACCTGGAAGGAGGTTAATAGAACCACATCTCCCTTTCGGTAAGAAACAAGTTACACTAGCCCCATTGTTATTAACCGCAGCTGAATATTTCTGATTATAAGAGCGATCTATAGTGTCCGTATAGAAGCATGCTAACACTCTTATCCTACAAAGAAATAGGCCTAACTTGTGTGGGTCTCAGTTCGTTTTTGCTCTCAGCAAGTAACCAGACAAGAATTACTGAGGACCTCCCATACTCTGAGAGATTTTCATCGTATTAAATTACCAATTTGGCACGATGCTTTCAATCTGTGCTATGAAAGTGTGATGACAGGAATGGAGAAGTTAAGGATCTCGTCTTGAAAGCAGTTTCGTACACTTTTAAAGAGCGAAATTTATTACAAACTTACGTGATATCAGAGTAAAAATTCTTCAGACACTCCAGTGTGTATGGTGAGGTCAACAAGGACTGCAAATTAATAACTAATTATATTAATGATAATTAGTGTAGAAAATCATTTCTGTGTATGATTCGTGATAATACAGATTCCGACTTCGTTAAAGTTCCCCAAAACAACCGCTCCGTGGAGATGTACAGTTGTTAACATAATAAAATAAATGGTCCACACTGAATTTGTAGACATGTTTGTGATCAGTTTCTAGACATTTTCTACATCCAGTGGTTCTTTGTTTATGACCATAAAACTAGAAGCTAAATGTAAATTTTATCCGGTCGCCATGTTGTTCTTACAACTTTACAAAACAATTAGTTTACCTTAATAGAACTTTTATACCTATATTTCTCCAAAATCTATTACCACACAAATTTCAGGGTGTCACTACCAACACACCCAAACACAATATTATTGACGATAGGAAGTTAATAAAGCACACAGATGATGGTGTCTGGTATCATCTTTGTACATATATTTTTAAAACTCCATCAGTTGGTTCGGAAGTTACTAATAGATGACAAACAGGGAGGAGATGTTGGTAGAACTGTCCGTAACAAACGTCGCGGTCGCGTGGATAGCAATCTTGCTTTTTATTCGGACGGTCTGAAGTTCATATACCGACTCCGTCACCACTTATCCTGGCTAAGAATTTAAATTAATACTTTAAATTATGCCACGACCGCATCCTTCCATATCCCTTCTAAGTTATTATTTATCATTCATTCTATCATACAACGCTACAGGCTTCTGACAGCGCCGTTAAATAAACCGCACCAATAATAAACTTTCCGTAAGATTTGAGGTTTTCACAGCGGTAAGTATGAAGATTTCTGTCTTTGGGTTGTTAACATCGACCAGTCTACACAGCGCAACAACCCAGAAGATAGAAATCTTCAATAAACTCTCCGTTTGAAAAGATGCCCCCGTTTTCAAGTTTATGACGCAATGATGTCTTGTACGTGGTTCCCGACGTTTTGGAAGAACGTATTCAAACACTGAAGATGTAATTTGTCTGAGTAGCGGTAATTCAAAGTGAAAATCTAGTAGTATTCGTTCATTTTTCGATTCGTATTTCTACTGTTTTAGCAGGAGGCCGCTGAAGGAATATGGCGACGTCCTCGGATTCTTTGCGTCGAGGGACGTTACTAGGCACTTGGCTGCTTCTTGTCGAGGTGAGTGGTAAACCATTTTATGTTGTTTTGTGGTTAGAGGAACCTTGTTTTGTTAGTCGACTGTATTTTCCTGTTTGTAACTCAGGAGGAAAGCTTTGTTTGACCTTGACAGGGCGAACGCATTCAGAAGTCCGATGGCGATGAATCTGTGGCTAGAAATTATAAGTTAAAACGTATTTGTTAAAACGCTACATTATGCAGAGTTAAATCCTTATATTGTTGAAAAGGTTCACATTTTCTTCCCAAAACTCTCGTCGTCAGTGCCAAGACGAATCTTTTCTTGTGAGTAATAGACAATATGATCTGTATTGCTTCAGAAGCTACAGATATTTAGATTCAGGTTTTGAAAAAATAACAGGAGCTCGCTTTTACTAGTCTTTTCAAACACGAGATAAATTCTGACCAGAATGTTCAATGTTTTCAAGCGACATATCTTGTGCATAACACGGACAGAGTTAAATTTCTACCGAACATGTTCCAATTGTGTACCGGTACATCTGTTTCGTATTCGAGAGGTTACCGATCGAATCTAGGGTCGTACATCAGCTACTCTTGCTTACTGAATCTGCACCCCGTTTACAATTCTACAGCCTTAGCGCTGGACGAACATGTTCGGCTAAAATTAATGTTTAAATGCATTTTAGAAGCAACTAACTACGTTTCAGAGGTGCTTGCTGCCTCCGTCATCAGGGTGATGAGTTAGGAAGGTTGGAGACAACAAGCACCTCTGAAAAGTCGGTAAATTTATACGAGACTACACGGCGCAACATCCCAAAAGACAGCCATTTTATACTAATGTTATACAATTAGGGAAAGTAGGAGAATATTTATGTAAAACTAGATTAAGTGTAAAAACAAATTTAATATAATGTAAGTGGGAATACACTAGGGTAAGTTTCTTGTTACAAGAATAAAATCTTTTTAACAGTAGGGTGGAGCCATTAGAGATGCAGAGATACAGAGATGTATACAGAAATCATACCACAGAATAAATGAATAAATAAATGGTTTATGAAGTGCGGTGGCATTTTAACGAATAACGATGGCCTGTCTGCACTAATTGGATTAACTGGCTTCTGCTCCACTGTGCGTCACACATGAATGGATATTTCGTTTCTCGAAACACTAACAAAATCACAAGGACGTTCTAAAACACACCTACAGGCTACAATAAAATGTAATTTATAACTTCTTTCAAATAAATATGTCAATTTAACCGATATCTTGTTTCTGCAGTAACGTAAAGTTGTTTGTTGTGGACATTGATCTCTTTCATTCTACACACGAGATAATTCACTTAGAGAGCATAGACTGTCCGGGATTAGAATTATTCGGTTTTAAAGACAGTCGGTAAATTGATAAATATTTAATTCGAAGCAAGCGTTTCTGTATTTCTTTAATAAACACATAGGATGTAAGCGTTTTTAAAAGAACATAGGGACACACACCATTATATTTTCACACTTCGAAAACTGAGTTAAGGCAGTCAGATTGATGTTTCTAATTATTAATGGAAAATAGAAACTGGGATTAAGTGCAGTGGGTGGTTACTACAAAATTTAACAGAAGCTATTATTTCATTTTTCATACATAGAATTTTAAGTGCTGTAGCGGAAATCGTTAAGGAAATTTTTCAAATTTTGGCGTTGTAGATATATGAGCAGCATTTCGAATGTAGTTATATTTCCCATATCTTGAAAGTTTTTAGTGTACGTTGCATGGTGCTAAGACATACAGGATTTGATGGGCTAGACCTAATATTTATTTAATGGCGGATACAGTGTCCATGTTCATTGCACCTTGCACAAATTGTGCGTACAAAACCTCGCATAGCACAGATTTATAAAATATAAACATTCCAGTTTGAATTATATAGTTGAATTCGAAAATATTTTATATGGACTAACGTCAATAAGTGACTTTACATTATTTCTTTGTCACAATTTCAGAGTCTGGGCGTTTGTACATATTAATATTTTTAGTTTTAGCTTCATGAAATTAGCCCTTTGTGGCTTGAACTCTTCAGTGCAGATCGGTTGCTGGACCACAAGTGGTTCCTCGTGCCGGCCTTGTCCAGGTAGCCGCGCCCAACCTCCTATTTTGTTTTTCATCTGTTTTTAATACCTCGTGGTTCTAACATCGTCGCGTAAGAAACAGAAGCAACTTGACCTTCATTATTCTATTGTCGGCTTAATTATACACATTGATTATATATATTTATGATAACAACTAGATTATGTATGTTTTATGTCTATACTGCTTGTTTGTTGAACGTCCTGCAAAGTTCGAAATGCACACCGCTGAACTGAGACAGTTTTCTGTGAGACCGTTCGTAAAGGAGCTTAATTGAACTTATTTATTTTATCAGTAAAATATATGTAATGAAATAGGTAGAGACAGTGTTTTGGAGCTACCAATATCTTCTTTGCTGGGTGACTCTATCATGTTTCGGTAACTTTATCTATTTTAACACATTATTAAACTATACAAGTAAGTAAATGGATTTTTTAGAAATGCCAGGAAACATTGACAATATTCGAGTTAATCTGATTTTTAAACATCTAGCTTAAACGGACAAAATCTCCCAAAAATAACCTTCGAAAAGTTAATATATTCTGAACTAGAAGAGCAGCTAAGTAGATTATAATAAAGAATAACCAGAAAGAAACGATACGATCGAAGAAATTATTACATATTTGAGACGGACTACTAAAAGTCGAAATTATTGTTATGCCAGTCCCTGATGATGGAAGTAAGCAGTTTCAGAAACATTAGTAGGTGGAATACAGATCAACGCTACCTAACATATCATCCCGAAATAGTGCGTAGACGTTTGCTAAATCCGATTTTTATAGAAAGTGAATTTCCAATATGGTATCACGCGAAACACATATATAATTTTACTATTATTGATTGCAATTAGTAATGTGAACCTTTTATGAAGTTAGATCATACCTGCAAATTTATACAGAGTCTCGTTTTCAATGGCGGATTGTGGTATTAGCAATGTTGAATCTTCTGGTTCTGTTAGTAGGTAGAGTAATAATTGCTTTTCCCGTGTGAGTTAGTAACTCTGTTTTAATAATATATCTGACTTTGTAATCATAAGTACAGTCTCAACACGCACGTTTGACACGCCTACCTAACGCCTCGTTGCAAATGCTGCCAAAGCAGTCCCATCAGAAACAAACCACGCGTGGTTCAGTCTCTCTTCAAGCTAATGACAGCCTTCCTTTTACTTTTATCTGAAACCAGTATGCATTCCATCAGCCCTTAATACTGCTTTAGTAATAAACTGTGTTGAGTGTTTGTTTAGCGAAAAATTTCAGCTTCGGGGTCATTAACCTGCTTGAGGGGGGGGGGGGGGGGAGGTGAAATTCGTGCCGTCAGATAGGACGGCCCGACCACGACGCAAAGAGCTGAAACATTAATTTGTCATTAACAAAGAACAGATTGCATTCTTCGCATCCAAAATTACGTTTGTTAAGACCTTTTTATTCTCCTTTTTAAGCGAAATAGTGCTAATTTATTTGTGGCAGAAATAGTATTGTAGCCTAGAGGTTTCGTAATTGGATAGAAGTTTCAACATATTATCTGTAATGGTCTAAAACATTGCGGTACGTCCAGAAAACAGAGAATTGAATTTAAACCTGAGTTTCAGGTGTTAAGTTTATTTCGAAGGAAGTTAGACCAGCATTGTTTACTTAGGGCTTAAATATTTTATTTTAATTTTATTTTATCTAAGTTTGATATTTTTATTTGGAAATAAATATTGTTTGAAAAGTAATTAAACGGTCCAGTAGCAATGAATATAGAGAGATATATCATTTCCAGTTTTATTGACGTATTTTCGGTTTGGGAAGTTTTGGGTTTAATCAGATTTTGGATACTGGGCTGATTTGCCTGTTTTACAGGATGTCGCTGAATTTACCTGAATATGGAAACTGCCAGGTTCCCCGAAACGTCGAAGAACGCCTAATCATTTAATTATTGTTGTTACATGCGTATATTTCTAACAGAACAAGTCTCGAAATTAATGTTGTCTAGGAACGTAAATTCCAGTTTGTAGTAACACGAATGACAACGTTCTGGAATGTTACAGATTGCTATCAGACTGCGCCATACCCACTCTTGAAGAACAGATTATTCCCTGTACCCCGACAAACAAAACGGCATAGGGAGACCTTGGTTAGCTACATCAATATCTGACAAGACGCTGTCATTGTGGACAAGTGAGCCGGAACACGTGTGTGAAGGACGAAGTTTGGCAGAAGCCATGTTACTTCTGAACGAATTAATAATTACAACAACAACATAATCTCAGTCTACGAAGACTTGAGAACAGGGATCTGATAGGAATTGACAGGAGATTTGGAGAAAACTCCATAATGAGAAGATTTATGATAGGTACTCTTCAAATAATGTTAAGATGATGAAATCAAACAGGATGAGATGGGATTGACATGTAGAAATATATAGAGACCATAAAGCTCGCAAAAATTTTATTGGAAACCCCGAAGGAAAGATACCATTAGGAAGACATAAATTTAGATGAGAGGGAAGTTATAAAATGGATAAGAGTAAAACAGTGCGAGAGGACGTCAATTGAAATCACCTGGCTCAGGATATGGACAGTTGGCTGGCTTTTGTGAACGCGGTAATGAACTTTCGGTTTCCATAAAATGTAAGGAATTTCTGCACAAGAATGTTTGTTAGTTAGTCAGTAAATCAAATAATCGCTTAATACTGGAAATTAAGAACAAATTGTGATTCCGGTCGTAATGGCCGCCCGGAACTTCTCGTAGGTTTTGGGCCGGTCGAACACAAGAACTCTTGTCTGGACCAAGCCCTAAGCGTCTGCTTCACTGACTGAGCTGTTTCCGTTTGTAAAGCGTAGGGTTAATACTGTAATGAAGGCAAGAATAAGTTCAGGTAATACTTATTTTACATTTCAGAGAGAATGCACTATTAATGTGTCAACCCATTTTAGTGTGTCGGAACGGCGCTGTCGATAGCTCCATTACCAACATTGTCAAATTAAAGAAGCAGGACTGTAACTGACATCTTCTGTGTTTGCTCGTCGAAACACTGTGACTGTTTTTACGAGCTGCACCGTCTATCCGCATTCCGCTAATCTATTATATATATATATATATATAACCATTATAAATTTTTATTTCAAACCAGAAACTGGCACTGGTATGTAAATACCATCACGTCCGTGTGCTGAAAATAGTCAGCATAGTGTGAAGACATTTCCGAGCTACTCCCTTGCAAAAAGGGTCACTGAACATATGCTAACCTAACTTCATGGTATAGTTATGTTTCGTGAATTATTGTTACTTATTCAGCTGGAAAACAGAAAATTGAACAGCGAAACACACAGACAGCCATATTTCTAATCGACGCACTGAGAACCTCGAAGGTCACTTATTGGGTTTTTAATGCAGGCTCTGCATTTGGCCGGGGTCAGTGGACACGGTCGCCTGATGAACCCTCCGGCCCGGAACAGCATGTGGAGATTCGGGTATCCAAACCCGGTGAACTACAATGACAACGAACTGTTTTGTGGAGGCCACGCGGGTGAGTTAATTTGCTTTCCCTAATTACAAGTAGGTGATCACAAGAAATCATGCATCAACCGCGTAAATCGCTAATGTTACCCGAACTAGCGTAAACTTGATGATGTTCTGGGTATTGGCGTCGTGGCATTTACCGACGAGTCTACACGGCGCCAAAACCCAGAAGAATATCATTATTCTCACCGCCGTGAAAACCTAATATCTGGCATAAATATTTTTAACAGATTTTCGGAAATATCACGATTTCTTCATAATTTAAGGAGTTGTAACAGTTTTTTGTCAAGAATTTTGTTACAAATAAAGTTGAAAGTAGGGGGGTCGGAGTCCCTTGATGCTGTTGCTTCAAATGGTATATGTTCTGATGTGACATAACATCGGTGCTGTCCTCTGACGGCTGTGGAAAACCCATCAATTAAGATAGCGTTATCGAATTCTGCGGCTATGAAAATCTATTGCATGGAAGTTCAAATAGTTTACTCGCTGAAAATAAAATAAAAACATTATAGAGAATTTTTGTGATATTTTTAAGTACATGTATTAAATATTTAATTTAATTTTACGTAAGTGTTTTGATTGTACCGAGTACAAACGCAGGAATAAGTGAATCCTTTACACCATTACACCCTGGTTTTATTTACTAATAACAATATTTTGTGAGTATAATTTTCGTTGTAACATATCCTTTCCACTGATGAAAAACCACAAATATTTAACTTTAACCGCTCAAATATAGCGTGAGACCATTCAGTTAATAATTTCAAACAATAAATTCACACCGAAAGCTTTTAAGCTATTAACTCGCGAGTAGCATTGGAATTTTATGTAAGCTATATGCGATGTGTCTAGTGACTATTATATATTGGTAGTTTTCGGGAATCCGGACGTTTCGGTAGCTGATCTCTTTATGGTGTGTCCTCAGTGCAGTGGGAACAAAACCAAGGCCGCTGTGGGGTATGTGGAGACCCCTGGCACCTCACAGAGCCACGTCCTCACGAGGCTGGGGGTCAGTTTGCGAAGGGAATTATCAGCCGCCATTATACCTCCGGTCAGGTGAGTGAATAAACATGAGAAGTATGACAGCTTATAGTATAATTAGCGCCTCTTTAGCGTATACCGCTTTTTAACCAAACCTTTCTGCCCTGATTGGTTTTGAAGTGTAATATTATAAATCATAATGAATATTACCGATAGGTAATGTATCTCGTTAGTTGAATATATGTATTTAGAAATTTTGAACGATGAAAATTGTTGTGAACATGGAAGCTTTTAAAAGCGCTTTCTAACGAAATACTTAGCATAGGAAGGGTTACAAATTTGCTTTCTTATTTCAGGAGATTGACGTCGAAGTAGAACTCACTGCAAATCACTGGGGTCGCTTCGAAATGTTCCTGTGCCCTAACAATAATCCTAGATACGAGGCAACACAAAGCTGCTTCGAAAGGTTGGTACTTCTGGCGGGAAGAACGGCTTTGGGGTCTTTCGCTGTTTTGCATACATTTCTCTGTTTCAAAAAAAACATAAGCTTACTTAAAGTATTTCTGTATGCAAACTGCTGTAGTCAGTTTCAATTTCATAGTTAATAGAGATCAAAGACAGAGATGTCTACGTTAGATACACTTGTAGTTGCATACCGGGTTTACTTAAAAACTGAAAAAAAAAATCATCAGTGTGTTCTGAATATGTGCCTTCATTTAATTAAGGAATTCCAAACTGGAATACATATATTTTCGAAATATATTCTTTTTTCAATTTGTTGTACCTAGTTCTTCGTAATATTCTTTTATTACCAGGGGCGGAGCTTTCATATTAACCTGTTAGCCGTGTTAGTCCGGCTAACATTTTTGATAAACGAAAAATAAAAGGTCTTCTGCCTTCCATGGTTCAGTGACATTCCATATCCTGAAGCAGTACAGAACCGATCAGATAAAATGCATCCTTAGCCAGCTACAGCCAGCCAGTAACAAGATACGATTTAAGAGTGACTTTGTGTTCATACATAACCAACGCTAGATGGCAAAAGGTTCTATTTAACAAGTGTTGTTACCATTAGGCAGCTTTCTGAAGTAGTCTAAAGGAGATTAAGGTACAAAGGCTGTAAGGAAAAGGCAGAAAAGGGAAAATGTGTGAAGACACAAATGAAATCATTCCCCGTTGTGCTGGGGGGAAATTGAACTTAGAAAGTTATAATTAATTGTTCTACATTGTGTGTCAATTTTATTTAGGTAATACATTATGTATAAGACTATTTGTGGAGGCGATATGTACTTTAATGTAGCGATTATAATCTTAACAAATTTCGTGGCAAGTATCCTTGACTTTTAACAATGTAAAATTTGACCTTGTTCCAGATATCAGTTCTGGTTACGACTAGTGCCATATAAACAGGTTTGTCATTGCGAAAAGGACCTAAGTCCAAAATTAGTAAATCTGGCCTACAAACTCCATAGCGTACCAGTTATTTCGCCAATCTGTAACAAATGAAATTCCCCTTTTTTTCTGTCTAGTGGTGTTGTTCTTTCGACGCGAATTTGCAACACGTCTAGCATATCATCCTAAAGACAAAGTTCTTATCTGTCCATCACTCCTACATGTGGTCTGATGGATGTATAGCTGCCGTTTTGCACTCGGGAAGTCACAGTTTCGAATCTCGATCGGAAAACTAACTTCACTGTTTATCGTGGTACTTCTGGGTACCCACAGGCAAATATCGTTACAGTATCTTAAAACAGACCATGACAACGGTAATATTTACCAATCATCGACTACTATTATGCATTACTTTTGAAAAGAATCGCCAACTAATCTAATAAGTGAGCAAATATATTCTCGATGTAGTGATGGCTCTACTATTTCCGGTTCGTTTGTCGACCAAGAGACCGGTCTTCCTGAGGCTTAGTTTGGTTTGATCAGTTCCTTCAGTTAAATGCTGGTAAAACATTGTGAAATAGGTCACGACTGCTTCATTCAAAATCATTCTATCACATAAATTGTAAACTGTCGTGTCATTTTTAATCCATTTTTACATAACTATTAAAGTTGACAACGCTTTGATAAATAAATACGCAACCTAACCATATATTTCGATCTATCGATCAGTCTGTCCACCCATGTCTCATTCTTTCTTCTAACGAATCACTGTGAATCACAGTTTCAGATTATGCGACATGCGGTCCTGCTGCCAACTTGTTTAAGTCTCTGTTCGAGACTAGTCACGATTCTTCTGCGTATGGAGGCGGCGACTAATAGCGACCTCATTGCTCGCTTCTGTGTACAGGGTAGGAGCGTTCATGTTAGCTACGTTAGCCCGGCTAACATTTATCAAAATAAAAAATTAGATGTGTTGCTTTCGTTCAGGCTTGCGTCCCCCGGGGGCAATTAGAAGAGACGTGATACAGTGTAAGCTGCAGGGGTGGATGGACTACGTGACTTTCCAAGCTGTTAGCCAGACCTCGGCTGCTAACACGCTACTTCCTTGCGTGCTGGCTGTTGACGTAGTGCGCTGCATCACATTTCTCGCGTGTGCCGTGTTGTGACTTATTCCTTGAATGATGAAAGTTGAAGTATAATGTTTATACTCGGTTGGCCAAAATTTTCATTAACCTCTCCCCCTTCGCCACGAGATTTAGCTAACGTTTTTGAAAAAGTCACGCTCCGCCACTGGTAACAATATGCTGATTAAATTTTATATGTTTACTACAATAAACATCAATATGGGTAGGAACGTCATAAATATTTCACTCTAGTGTTGAATTTTTAGAAACTCTTCTAAGAATGTTCTTAGTCGTTGAATTTTAGTTTTCTTCCCCACAGCCGACTTACTTGGCACTCAACACAGATATAGGGTGTTGGAGAAATAGTAGTACAGTTAGGTTACTTAATTAATAATTTAGTTTTCTAGCCACTTAATTTTTTCCGACGGTAACCTCTCGTGTGTCAATTTAAGAATAGAATCTTGTTTGGTATTCTGCTGTAGGTTCCCGCTGTATGTGTCGGGCTCCAGGGAAGTGGCGTTCCACATTCCTCTGGAGTCCAAGAAGAAGGAAGTTTTCCAGTATAAAGTCCGCCTACCACCTTACATTACATGTACACAGTGTGTAATCCAATGGACTTACTACACTGGTAAGTATTCTATAAAACACTAAAATTGTAAGAAGGATACCAGCAAAACAAAGAGGCAGATGTAAAATTTAGATCCAAGCGAGTCTAAGTCATGGTGAAAGAACATTTGCCTTCCCTCGGACCAAGAACAGCTTTCTCCGTTGAACCCAATAACCAAAAAATCCTTCCTCACGCGATTTTTACAAATTAATAGCAAATTTTCATTATCATTAACAGTATTCATTGAGAAATGACATACACATGCCATCTGCTACGCCGCCATCAGCTGAAGTGTTTCTTCCTGCCATATGGACATGTTTACAAGAAGCAATAGCTTTTGGGCGTGGCATTACGTAGTGTCATATGCCCTGCCCGCAACCTTGCAGGACAGCAATTTAATTGTCTTAGCCATGCGAGTCAGTTGCCTGGCTTTAGTTGAGGAGTGTGCATATTTACTTTTCTGAAACTTTGTGGTGCACATAATAATATACGTATTAATTGACAGGATTTCATGAATGTAACCCTGGACATCATGCCATTTGGGACATTGCTACCCTCACAAACCTTTTACCGTGGCGATCGTGCGAGTTAGTAAAGTGGAAGCAAATTTAAAGCCGGAAAGCGACGTTTCAGAGGTGCTTGCAGCCTCCATCATCAGGGCCAGCGCCTCCGAGATGTCGATAATCTTCTAACAGACTATTTTGTGCAACATCTCGGAATGCGGTAAACATATTCGGCCCCTTGAGGACTTAATATCGCTATTCAGATTAGGATCTCGAAGTATCTAGTGGTGAAATGTCTCGGAGAATAAGTAAGAAGGAAAGTATGAAAGAAAGGAAGGAATAAAGAGAAAGAGAATAGAGAAATAAGACGTATAAATAAATAAAAATTGAAGAGGAGATGTAGTTAGGCAAATAGTGGTGAATTAGAGTGGAGAAAGAAGGAGAGCTGTATGAAGGAATACAAAAAGGCACGGATTGTGACTAATTTATTACAGTGCTGATAAAGCAATATGCAGAAAATTCAGAACCTTTACATATTTGTAAACAATTCCACAAAAGCTGCACCGTAGCCAGTCTTTCTCCAGTAAAATTCAGGGAGGACGACAGATATTTACCGTGCTCCAACGACTTGTTTAGCCAGATAGTCGCTGATTTATTTACACAATGTCCACTAGGAATTCAGTTTATTGCAGTTTACTTCTCCATTTCTATTAATAAAACGATCCGGTTTAGCGTTTAAGGTCAGCCGTTCAATGAACTGGTTCAGCTCAACCAGCGGTCACGTTACTAATTATGCACAGCATTAGCATCACGTCCAAATGTCAACCCGAGTGTCCGAAAGCACTGATCGGATGTCGGTGACATTTATTTCGGGTTTATGCTGCACTTGGAGACTAGAAGTAGATGGGTCTTTAAGAAATGTGAACCCATCTGGCTCAGTATAGAGAACAGTGTCGTAGTCTTGTAATAAAATCTTGGGGATTTTGTGACTCGTCCAGATTGAGATTACCAAGAAATACTCGGAACTTGGACGTAGACGTTCATTTGTAGCCTTTTAAAATTTTAGAGTCTAGCGGTAATTATGTACCGTCTGCTTTAACAATCAGCAACGCTACAATTTGTATTATGGGTTTCGTATGATTCTCGGTGCTAATAGGGATTATTTCCTTAAGGTGTGACGATGAAACGCCTAAGAAGTAAGACAAATACAAAGCATATCAAAGTATATAAAATTTCACTGCAGTCCCAGAACAAATATAAAATACACTCTTTAATAAATATATAGCTTGGCGTCAGTAATAGTAATGTTACACGTTGCCGGATTTTCATATTTTGTATAAATCTTGAGGAGGATCCGCTCCAGGCCTCGCCTATAATTTAATCACCTTGACACTTTTTAGTGAATATTAGCCTACAAATTTTATATTTCCCCCCATTTTTATTCTACCGCAGCTTCTCGTCAACACTGTCTAAGTGTTCTGCTCTGATCGTGACAGACCACATTTCGCATTAATAACCTTCGTGCCACATTTCTTCGAAATCTGTTGAATCACTGAGGAGATGAAACATGTCGACAGATACAAACTCCGCCTGTATTTCTGTTTCCCAGGGAACATGTGGGGTACGTGTGTCAATGGTACGGAAGGTCTCGGTTGCGGTCGGCCCGAGACTTTCCGGAACTGTGCTGACGTCACAATAGTGACGAGTACAGCAGGACTTCCGCCAATTTTTATTGGCCAGCAGGATAACCCGTTTCTGCTTTATTACCGGGACTTCCGGTCACCGATCCTTGTGTCACCACTTATAATCAGGTGAGCCTCACAATTTGTAAAAAAGTATCTTGGGATTCCAGTCTCTTGGCTCAGAGTGTTTATAGTTTAAATATCAGCTTAACACGTGTTGGTTCATAGTTTCATATTGGCACAAATATTTTAATATATAAATTGGAATTTTCAGATTCTACGTGATTCAATTTTTTTTTCATGACGTATCGTGTATCATACAATAAATAAACAACAAAAATATTGAGGAATATAATCTTAATTTATTTGAATTGAACCGATTCGAACCGAAGGTAAATTTGCTGTTCATATTTTAATGTATTTCGCAGATCTTTTGTTGGCTTAAAACTGTTAATTTTTGGCTGGGCCAAAAAAGCTTATAAATTACGTTCTTGCACCTCGAAACAGCTGAATGGATTTTGTTGTAATGTTCTCCCAAAGTGAAAATGTGCTCATGACAAGGTTTATTCCAGGCAGCAGGTATGTCTGCCGACTCCTTTATACAAACGGCTCCCAGGCATAGAGAATTGGTGTCAGACAAACTGCCTCAGATATCCGCCGAATTGCTCGCCTATGATCTGTCAGTGCCCGTAAGTACTCATTCGTTTCTTGGTTTCGAAAACCTGCAAAATTAAGATGGCTGTCATCTGATTGTGATGGAGGTATCAAGTACCTCTGAAACTTCGGTAAACTTCTACCAGACTACACGCCGCAACTCAGAAGACAGCCATCTTGGTTCTCACCTCCGTGAGAACCTCAAACCTCAACCTAGAAAAAGTTGAGGACTGTGGTCTTCTGGGTTATGACGTCATGTATTTTAATAAATTATTACCAGCATATTTAGATAAACATGTCGAGGGCATCATGCCAAAAGGGCGTATCAACATATTTGAATAATCTGCGATATTTGTTCTTACAACATAAAATTGTGGGATGTGTTGTCATGTTAGAAGGGCGTAATGGACGCTCTACGCAGAGATACAGACAGTTACATTTGGGCGTATGAAATATAATAATGTTTATTTGTCAAACGAAAAAAGCGTTAAGATTCAGTATCCTGTAAATCAGTAACATTGTTAAGCCCATCTGGCATGATGCTCTCGATATTTTCTCCATCTACAGGGATATTCGCTCTGAAAAGTTGGTAACATGACTATACAGCGTCATAACCCAGAAGACCACAATGCTTATTTACACCGCCCTTAACCTCAAATATCTGTAGTTGTTTTTATTAATTTAATATCCTGTACTAATTCATAACAAATGGAATCCTCGCTCCCACCTGAAAGAGTAAAGTGGTAGAAGACGCCATAAAAATGTTTCCGATGCAAAATATGTGGTTCCAAATTTAAGTTCATTTTGATTTTCTTTCACAAAAAGTACGTTTTCAGTATATAAGGCAATACAAACTGTTGACAGATGGCGGGATATATTTTTCACTCATCTTAAATAGAAGGGTCAAGGTTACTACCGCGATTTTAGGATATATCGTCACTCCCATTCATATAATTCTTTCCCATTACCACCGTTGCAGCTTCTCAGCCTCTCCTCCTTATGCTTCTTATGATGTCCCGTGCTCCTTTATTGCGAGAGATAACGAGACATCAAGAAACGCAGACAGATACCTGCATGGACTAAAACGCCCGAGTGTTGTGACGAAGAAAGATAATTACCCGATGCCAGAGTAAAGGTTTAAGAATACAAAAATTGCAACTCTGACATCGGCAAATTGTCACTTAGAGTTCTGTAGACGTTGCTGCATTTATTCTGATTGCAGGGAAGTGTGCGACGCGATCGGTGAGCTGGAGGGTCGCGCTGGAGCGGATGTGTACTGCCTGGATAAGTGCGTAGTGTATCCCTCGCAGTGCCCAGCTGACAGGTGTCGCTGCTACTGAGCTACCACAAGCCACTGCACTGAGCAGAAGCGATAGATAAATCTTCGTTGCCGAAACGAAACCTCAAATACGCTTTCAATAGACAATTCTGTTTCGCTTGCAAACATTCAGGCCATCTGAGAACAAATATCTGACGTCATCAATCGAAATTATCGACAAAAGGGCCTTACAACTTCGTGCAAATTTCAGTGGCGACTTGTGAGCTTTTACAGAAGTCCGAGGGGGGAATTAGCGTCTTATGATATGCAGAGTTACAAAATGTAACATTAATAATCAATTGCATTTGAAGGAGATCGTGGAATCTTGTCCAATAAAGTGATTGCGGGATGGAGCACGTTGCAACAATGGGACCTAGGTGATTGTTGACTCGCTGTGACCTTGGATAGACTTTCCTTTGTTACTCCTTTCGAGTAAGAATGAAACAGGTCCACAGTTATCCACGTAGCAACCTGCTGACGGGACCTCCGCGTGCTGTAGAATTCCAGCGTACTCTAAAGAGAACATCTTTCCAATCATACTCTTTGTAATTATCGTCGTTGTTTGTTTGAATTATTTATTGATTGTTATTTGATATTTTAATTTATATATCAGTGTTCATTCAAACAATCTGATGAATTCCCCAAGTTACAAGTCGTCGCTGTCAGTTTGTACCCAGCAATATCTTGGTCTTGTTACCAATAACTGATGACTGAATCTCACTAAATACGCCGATGTACAGTGATGCTATTTTCTGTAGTATTGTGTTAGTTTACAGCGCAACTTTGTCCCAGATTTTCAAACCGCGAGTGTTCTCTGTCGAACTCAGCCCGACATTCATTGAACTCACCTTCCGCTCGAATTTAAAAATAAATAAATTAATAAATAAATAAATTTACGCTTGTCATATTTTAAAATATATCTTAAACTCGTTTCTCAGTTGGACATAGACACTCGGAAACACATTCCGGTCCAGTTCTGGGCTGAGTCCAACAGTTTTATAATTCGGGCAAAGTAACTGTACTCAAGAGTGCCATATTTTAAAATATGATTTACATGTAAACTATTTCCAGGCCTATAAAATTGCCGCGTTTGGTCTGATTTGCCCCAGCATCTCCGGTCAAAATTTTCTTGTTTTCGGCAATCTGCATAGTGTTTGAATTAAATTGCAACGTTCAAAAAATCACCGCTTTTATAACCTTAACTTTTGTGGGGAGGACTCGGAGGCAGTGAAATGTGTCTGGACCAGTAGTAAGAAAAATGAGTTGAGGCTTAATTGTAATGAAACGTTGTGATTCGTCCAAAAAAAAAGGTCAAGTTCACGTCTCTTAAAATTACTAGCTTATTTCTGAATAATTAATGATGGAGCTTCCGAAATGTTTAATTATATTCAACGACTATGAGGCTAATCCTTGAAGAAGAATCAATTATAAAACCTGAAAACCTGTTCCTAAGTTATGATGTCCTAAAAGTTAAAAAAATACTTGGCTCCTTCACTTATTCTATGTGTTCATATGTGTGAAAAATACATGTTGACTAAACATAAACTAGTACATAATCATTCATTGTCCACACCTTACACACCTTATTAATCACAGCGGATTTCAGAGTAAAGCAAAATATCGTGTTGAATATAATTCTGTATAATCCTACAATCGTATACGAGGGTGGCAGTAAGCACCACTGAAGTGTCGGTCAATTAGCATAATTACAGGGACTGGTGACCTTGGTGTGCCTATGTACGCATGCAGGAGCGACACATTTTGGGCCAGAACATGCCTAAATTGATACCATGCTTGATGTCAGCATCTAGTGCAAAACCTGGAACTCTACTAAATCGGCTTTCTACGTTGTTGGACTTTGCTGAACAAATAATTCACTGAATTCGTATTTATGTTCTTTGTGAATAAATTCATTACGAAACCGCTATAATGTGTTAGAAATCGAAAGATAAACACACAGAGACAAAACAAGAGAAAGTGGGATATGATGTCCAACAAAGACTGCCACGTGCTTAGCTGCAAGAAGGATTGCCTCATGAAAGTACAGGCGACTCAGAAACACTTATTGGGTCTATTAGTGTCTGTCATAATTCTGTCAGTCATTTCCAAACCGTGTTCCGCGAAACCTCAGGTTCCCGGGTGGATTCCGAAGATTTTCGTAGATTCAATTGAGACCATCAGTCTGCAGGCAATTAGTATTATGCAAATCCAAATTCTGTTTACACATTAAAATAATTTTCGTTCATAAATGTCAGCTGAGTACCGTATTTGATCGAATACAAACATACGGCCATATTCTTTAAGTGAAACTTAAAGAAATTGAGGTATAATACATTCGGAAATTACAGTGTGTCTTTTCAAATATATAGTACATTCAGATTTGTAGAAGTTAAACTGAAGGGAGAAAATGCTCATTTTATTCGGATAAACACAGAAACTTAAATGTACAGTCCAGCCATCGCTGCTATTCACAAGTTGTCTAAGGAGATCATTTCCGTTTAAACCTTGTAACAATTTAGACGGGTTTCTTCAAATGCAGATACCAAAGATGACCGTGTAACGTTTCCGTCACATCTGGGATTTCCGTGTCTGAAAAAGGAGGAAGATAACTGCCTCCCTGACAGGAAGTTGCGGCTTGCGTTCCACGGACGAGCACAGTAATGGATTGCCGTACATTTGTCAGTGTATTTCCAAGAACCGATATTATATTTTGCATAAACGGCACTGCCGAGTTTCATAGTCCTGGGCCGCCCAGGTTATCACAATTATTTGGATTTAATGACTTTAACGACAAGAAAACAAACCAAGAAAATTCTCAATTATTCCTGTTACTTCAAAATGACTTGTCATTTTGAAGTTTCTTATCGCACAACATACTTAAGGAGATTAAATGCAGGATATTGAAGTAGTGGTAACGCTTAAGGCATACATAATTTGGTCGAAATTCTACTAGGGAAGCGAGAACTTTCTGTAGCTGGGTATAGAAGGAAAGTTGATATTAAAATGGGTATATCAAATAGATTGTGAATGTACAAATCGCTTTGTGCTTCCTCAGGATAAAATTCCAATGGCAAGCCTCTATTAACTAACTAACTAGATGGTTTAGGAACTCTGAAGGTTCATCACCGAACTAACCAAAGCCCTCCACCGGACCCTGTCCTGGGCCAACAAAATCCAGTCTCCTTCAACTCCTATCTACCATAGATCCCGCCTGAGATTATCCTCCCATCTATGTCTAGGTCTCCCCAGCGGTATCTTTCCCTCAGGCTTCCCAACCAATACCCGGTGCACACCTCTTGTCCCATCCATGCGCGCTACATGTCCCGCCCATCTCATTCTTCTTGACTTAATCACCCTGACAATACTGGGGGAGGAGTACAGATTTTTAAGTTCGTCATTATGCAGTTTTCTCCATGTACCATCGTCTTCTCTCCTAGGCCCAAATATCCTCCTCAACACTTCCTCATCCTTCTCAAAACCTTTTTGCGCTGAGAAATTACGAACAATTCGAAGAAGACCATAAAATTATTTAACACATTCCTTTCTTTACATCATGTATCATTTTATTGTAACTATCAGACAGTGAAATGACGAGACAGGATGGGGTTTGGTCTATGAGCAAGCAGTCGGAAGTCCAAAGCTTTGATATAACTCCCTGGCGAGCACAGCGTCTGTCATTCTGAATAGCGGTTCGCCTACTGGTAATAATGGGTTTGAAACAAGAGACGTACAGCTCACTCATTCTGCTGTTAATCGTGATGGGAGTGACGTTTGGAAATGGACAAACATCGTCTATCTGTGACAATGGTGCGTGTGATTGTTCTCCTCGTTATAGAGATGTTACTACCATTGAATGCAAATGCAACGCAGTAAGAAAGGTAATTATGTGAACAAATATGATACATTAATTGTTAGATATTATACAAAGCGTTTTACTGAAATCTTTACAAAATATAAAAATACTTTCCTTCTGTGGACGAGGCTTGGTTCCGTGTTAATTCCATATTTATTTGTTCTGTGTGTCGGTTTAAAAAAATTATAATGCTTCAAAACCTGTAAAAACTTATTTATGAAATACTCGCCTAGTGATGACTTAGTATTGTTTAAAAATTGTGAAAAACTGACGGATATTTAATTATGAAAATATAGTATATACTAGCGCTCATCCGTGCCACTTTTCACCGCTGAAAAGCGTGTATTCCTCGAAAGTTGAATCTTTGAGGTTCCTGCAGTAGTCTACCGATAAATGAATTAGATAATCAGTTATGTATTTTATTGTTAGACTTATTGCATTAGAAACGATTAGATTGACTGGACTTGTACTGCGTATGAAATAAACTAATATTTGGTAAAATAAACTTTCATAAGATAGTATAATTGCGTCATATTGTGAATCAAATATTAAATTAATTATTCGGTTTTGTCCGTCTAATCACAATTATATTTAAAATTTACAAATAAGATAATTAAAATATCATTTTATGTTCCATGTAAATCGATTATTCGATGTGGAACATAAAATGATATTTTAATTATCTTATTTGTAAATTTTAAATATAATTGTGATTAGACGGACAAAACCGAATAATTAATTTAAAATAATTTTTTCAAAAATAATATTTTGAAACGAAGATGTAGGCTAGTTCGGACGATGGAATTAAACTGGATCTTTTGAACGATTTTAATTGTGAACTGGGGCGAAATGTCTCTCGAAAAGTTATTTCTCAGTCTTCGATTTCCTTAAAAATTATTTACCTGCACCAGAATATTAGTTTCTTAATTTAGCTCGGCTAACGAAGTTGATCGTGTTTTGGATGAAGTTCCCTTTATTCGAAACAAAATTTTATCTTCACGGATGGCAATGAATTATAATAATTATAATTTAGTTGATTAATTAAAGCCAGTTGCTTAATAAAATATTATAACTATATTTATCACGATTTTGGTATGATTTCATTGATTTAAAACATGGCTTGACCTTAATTTTTGACAATGAATATCTTATTAGCTGGTTACTTCATTCGGCTTAGTTACTTAATCAGATGTTATAGCGACATTTATCGCAACTTGACTGAACTTCTTGTACTGAACACAGGGTTTCAGCTTCACCGATGCCGACTTCGGCTGGAAGTTCCGTAAGGTCCGTGAATTCTATGTATCAGACTGCGATGAATCCATCATCTTTACGACGAACGCATTTAAAGATTTGGGGCAACTGGAAAGTCTACACGTTGAAAAAGTAGGAAAAGTCGAGTTTCAGTCCGGCGTCTTCCAGAAACTCGTCAACCTCAGCCTACAGAACATTCGAGAACTAGATTTTGGCGAGCGGGCCTTTATGGGTGCCCACGACTTGGAGAATATCAAAATCCGTGGAGCTACTGTGCATCAGCTGCGTTCACATGCTCTCTTCGACATCAAGGGACTGCACAGCCTGGAAATTTCTGATGTCGTGGTTCATCTCATCGAGAAAGACGCCGTGAACGTAGATCTCAGACATCCCGACTCCCAGGTCTTCATCAAGAACAGCACGGTAAGAATTCAGTCGTTTCAGAGGTGCTCGCTGCCTCCATCATCAGGGCGATGACTAAGCAGAAACAGGTCAACAAATGGCCTAACTCTTTAAAAATGTTATGCTGATGATGATATTAGCCCATGATTATGAATTAACAAGTTTTGTATCTTGAATAAAATTTATATCTTATATTTATGCACTTAACGACAGAATTTTGTCTTTTGTTACAGATCAACAACGTTGAATCAAATGGCATCGTTCTTACAGCAAATAATTTCAGCGTTGATAAGTCTGCTTTGGATAAAATATCACCTAACGCTATTAAAATTTCATCAGATCTTATATTGATCTCAGAGTCGGCCTTTGGGAATAGTCTGCCTAACAATGGAATAAACATGATGGCACATACAATTAACATTCGTAACAACATATTCAAATTTCTTCCAACAGGAGTTATGGAGATTACAAAGCTTGGCAACGATACAAAACTCATCTTTACAAACAACACAGTCCATAATATTCAGATTGAAGGACCTTTGAATAGGATAAGTGGTATAATGGAGACGGCAGAAATCAGAGATAATCATTTCCCTTGCACGTGTATTCTTGGTGTGCTTCATCGTAGTTTGCCAAATTACAGTCGGAATAACTTCTGTGCAACTAGATGTAATATTTCTTTCAATGATTTTGGTGAGTTGGTCGAGGCGGAAAAAGTCTGTATTTCCAACAACAGAGATCCAGACGAAGCTGAACTGTGCAGAAGTGTAACGTATCCAACGCCACGATCGCCTCGCGAAGGAAGAATGCCTTCATATTTCAGCAAGAGTCCTTCATCAACCATGGCAACAGTTCAGCCTAGAAACAGTTCAGGCAGAATACAAGTTGTACCTGTTCTCTTGTTCCTCACTTTATTTACAGTTCTGTTTGAAACCATAAGCAAGATCAATTGTAAAGGATGCTGACTATGTAGCACGTATTTCCGCATCGTTTCTATGGCCCAGTAATCCGATCAGAAAACAACATACCGGAAACTGTATCTGTTTTCGTCGTCAGGCGAAAAGTTAGGGAGTGGGCCCCGCTAAGTACGTTTTAACCACCTCCTTTTTTCAGATGGAAACATCCATTTTCCGAAACTCGTTGTTCTCTTTGGAATATTCGGTGTTGAAATAAATCCAGACGCCTAAAAAAACTAACCATGTGCTAGATGTTTATAATCCGAATTTTTGTAACATTTTATCACAGTCTTGCCTAAACAAGCGTCTCCTATACAGACATTTGTGTGGAAAGAAATGAAAATGCAGAGAGAATAAATAGCAATATATAAATAAATTGTATGTATTGAAACCTATCTTTCTCTTGCGTCCAGTCCCACGAATTATGTAAGTTAATTTGTTATATTTTACAAGCTGTTTGTGTTTGAGGGATCACTCAGTTGTAACATTTCTGAAAGAGTGGTTGTCCATTTTGAAAACACGCCGCACTTCGACTGACTGTCCAGATTCTTTCCAGATTCCCCCCCCCCCCTTATTTTCTTCGTATATTCTCAATGAAAATGAAAGATAAGGTAAATTTATACCTGGTAAAGTACCATTTGGTATATGGAGGGAGTTGAGCTATAGATCCACGCATTCCTACTATTGGCACTGAATGGAGACGAGGTTTGCTAGCCCCTTTTGATTTAATTATAAAAAGCACCTCACTTCTACTAACAGTGTCTGGAAAAGTAAATACACACCACAATTTTATTTATTACGAATATTTTAAAGACAGGATACTTCTTCATTTCCAATGAGTGAGTGCCTCTACGAATATTTTAAAGACAGGATACTTCATTTCCAATGAGTGAGTGCCTAAGAAATAAGCAGAATTCTTTGTCAGTGTGTATAGAACTCATGAATTACATGGAAACACCGCAAACAGAAGGTTTCCACTCTTGCATCGATTTCCTCGCCTGCAATGAATACGAGAGAACGAACGCCCCCTGCCTGGCAGGAGGGAATCGTGAAACTTGCGAAGGAGGCGAGTCGGCCATACCGCGATCTTATCCGGGTATTAGGTTAGTAGAGGAGGTAGAGGCTGACATGTTGTAGAAATATATTTAGTGCTGCCATCTGTCAGCAGAAAGCGCAATAAACAGGAAGTAGTCTTATTTGATGTGTTTCATTGCATAAGGTTACTGTTTTTAAAGCGAGAGAGAAAAGTGGGATTTGTAATTTTTCTACGGGCAATTTGTTGAGTTATTTGATTAAAATGGTTGTCCGTCAGTATAATGAAGAGCTCAAGTATTTGGAAAAAATAAATCCATACTGCTGGAGGATTATGAAGGGATTTCAACCAAACATGAATGTAAGTTGACAGCTATATCAGTAAACCGGCTTCTTAATTACAATTACTTAACTTATTTGAAGTGTAATAATTCTGTAATTGCGGACATATTAGGAACAACTAAATAACACTTAATGTCACGAAATCTAGAAGACTCTTGTAATGAGCAGATGGAAATTTCAGAATGTGGTTTTCGTTTTCACCTGTGCAATTTTTTTATTTTGTGAAGTGGCATTATTATAAATTTATTTCTTATACGTTATGTTCAGTTGCGTGTATTTAATATTTAAAAAAATGTTTGATATATTTAGTGTGTGTAACTAAAATGGCTATTAGCCATGTCATGTAACGTTATTAATCGTCGTCCTTAACCTAACAATAGTAAAACATATCCTATTCCTATTTGTTATACATATGTTTGTGACATATGCAAATATTTTTTTTACGAAAAAACCATTTTTCAGGTGGAAGGTGTGTTTTATGTAAACAACCATCTTGAGAAACTAATGTTGGACGAGTTAAGAAATGCTTGTCGCCCAGGCATGATGGGAGGGTTCCTTCCAGGTGTGAAGCAGATAGCGAACGTTGCTGCATTGCCAGGCATTGTGGGACGTTCTGTAGGACTTCCTGATATACATTCAGGCTATGGGTTTGCTATTGGTAGGTGTACATGTTTTATTTTCACCATACAGTGAAACTTATTATTTTGTATGTGGCCAACCCATTGTAGTTTTGTCACATATTTAACTTTAACCTGCACTTCTGCTTCAAATTTGTAAATTCCCCAGTTCAAATTATGTTGGAAGATGATCTATCCTGACAGAGATTTCTTTATGAAATTCGATAAATACCAAAATGGATGAAGGAAGAGAAGAATGGAAATAACTGTATAAGGAGGAGCTTCTTAATTTGTGTTCTTTGCTGTGATTAGAATGATTTAATCATGAAATATTGGGTTGGGTGGATATGCACCACATGTGGAGGAAAATCAAGAGACAATTTAATGTCATTTGATGGCAGTATTATGGGTTGTGATGCCATGTAGACCAGTAGAAGTTTACCAATGTTTTGGTTGTGCATGTGCTGATGGTGGAAGCAGCAAGGACCTCTGAAATGTTGGTAAACTTCTAGCAGAATACAAAGCACTACAATCCAAAAGACAGCCATCTTTGTACTCATATCTGTGAGAATCTCAAATCATATCTAGATGACCTTTATCTGGGAAGTCACAAAGGAAGAGGCTGCTTTGGAAGCCTGTACATGAATGGGAGGATAATTTTGTGCCATGGAGAAATATATTGTGAGCTAGACTGAAATGGCTCAAGATATTGTCCTGTTGTAGACTTTCATAATTGTGGTGATATATCTGTAGGAAGTTCTGTGAAAGCAGGGATCTTCTTGACAATCAGTAATTATACATTTCTCAAGGGAGATACCATTCCATAGAGTTAATTAAGGTTAGATTATATTAATGAATTATGTTTTCCTTTCACATTAGGGAATATGGCAGCCTTTGACATGGATGATCCTAAATCCGTGGTTTCACCTGGGGGAGTAGGATTTGATATCAACTGTGGGGTACGACTTTTAAGGACAAATCTTCAAGAGAAGGATGTGCTTCCTGTAAAGGTGAGTATGTTATTGGACTTCACACACACATTTCTTTTTTTCTTTCATGTCTGTGTATGCACAGTGCACCTTGTTGGACTTCAGACATGTATTCCAATTATCTCTAAAACCTGTGCGTGTGCTCTTTATTGGATTTCACGCACAAATTCTATTCCCGTTTCAAGCCTGTAATAGAAATTAATGCAGAGATTTCATTTGTGTCTCAGGCTTTTTCGTAATGTACTTGGTGCAGAGTTTTGGGATTGCTGATTGGGAACTTTGTTATTCTGTAACCAGGAGCAGTTAGCACAGAGCATGTTTGATCACATCCCAGTGGGAGTTGGATCCAAAGGAATCATCCCCATGAATTCCAGAGATCTAGAAGAAGCTCTTGAAATGGGAATGGACTGGTCTCTCCGAGAAGGTCAGTTGTGAACCAGAATGTTTGGTTTGTAAACTGAATTTCTTTAATTTTATCCAGCGTTAAAAGGGATGGTTTTTTCTTGTGTGTTAACTGCCTGATCAACCCACTAGCATGTATTATCAGCTGTAAGACATTGGCTGATTTTATAGCTGTGAAATGTTACAGAATACGTTCAGATTGGCTTGTACTAAACGATGTATGGTACAACTATGTTCAGGATACATTTGGGCAGAAGACAAAGAACACTGTGAAGAGTATGGACGAATGCTGAATGCCGACTCATCCAAAGTGAGCATGCGAGCCAAAAAGCGAGGCCTACCACAGCTAGGAACATTAGGAGCAGGAAACCATTACGCTGAAATACAAGTTGTAGATGAAATCTATGATAAATGGGCAGCTAGCAAGATGGGCATTGAAATGAAAGGGCAGGTTTGTGTCATGATTCATTCTGGTAGCCGAGGATTTGGACATCAAGTTGCTACAGGTATTTCATGTTTGAATATATTCAGTTTTAACTTTAAAACTTTCTAAGAACCACTTTATTACAGCAGTATGTTCTTTTCACCTTATAAATTGTTTTGTGCTCTATATACTTAAGGAACATGGCATTATAATATATTTTATAAGACATCAAAATTCAGTTATTAATATTCTTTTTTCAAATTATGTTTATCATATGGGAACAGGGGATTTGAAACCCTGAACAATGTGACTGCCAATGGACTTTAACTGAAGAATTAACACTGTAGTGGTATACTACCATTATACGTAGATGGGCGGTTAATAAAGGTTAAATTTATATGTTTCAGATGCCTTAGTCCAGATGGAAAAAGCCATGAAACGTGATAACATAGAAACAAATGACAGACAGCTAGCTTGTGCTCGCATAAAGTCCCCTGAGGGCCAGGACTATCTGAAATCCATGGCAGCTGCTGCAAACTTCGCGTGGGTTAATCGAAGCTCAATGACCTTTCTCAGTAGACAGGTACTGATGGCATGCATTTGTGTGACCATACTTTTTGTACTTGTTATACTCCAAAGCAGGAGCAGAAAGGTGTGCTAAGATGTTGTACGGATTCTTTTTCAAATGTATTCTAAGCGGTTTTGCATGTCTTTCTGACTAAACTTTAAACTCTTCCAACTCAAATGCGCATGTTGCAGTTGTAGTGATCCACGTTATTTGCTGAAACCAATTTTTATATTTGTTGATTGTGTTGTTGGTTATTTAAATGGGTCTGGTTGCATATTTTCTTTCTGCATTGGCTGCATCATTTTTCAATCCTTTGATTTTGGTCATTTTATCTTGTCTGCTGCTGACTTTGATTATTGGCCACATGGAGACTAGTCAGACAGGGAAGCTTGTGTTCTCAGGGTAATTACAGGAGTCATTTTTGAAACATGCATTAGTTCTTATTTCACATAAATATTATGCTGGCTACAAGTTCCAGTGGTTTTTGCTTTAAATGTCTTTCTCCCTTCCATGTAGTCTGACAGGCTAATCAGCCCATATTGGTTAATATGTTCACGGATGTTTCATAAGGACTCGATCTATTGGTTGATTTTTTTTTTTTTTTGGTCTAGGGTCAAGGGTGACTATTGAGGTATTTTATGCAAATGCATGTTTTTGTGCTGACATTTTGTAACCTTGAACTTAAGAAAGCCACAGGTTTTCCTACTGTTATGTGCCACATTAGTATTTTAATGTACTGAATTTGCTTTCTTTGACTTCCATTCTTTTTGACAATGCTTTGTTATCAAGTCACAAATTAACAAAAATTCAGTTATGTGATGAGTGAATATCACCTTGAAGCTCGTACAGTTTGGAAACAACCGCGACTAGAATCTAAGATGCTGATCAATGCATAACAAGTTATAATATAAGGAAGGCAATGTGCAAACGTAATAAAATAATTTTTAGGATTTTGGAGTTGAACTAAGTAAGAGATGGGTTTTCCTGGTTTAGGCTTGTTAATTTTATCCATCTTTGATTTTAGACCTTTAGTACCAGATGTCATCAAATTCCAATCAGTAAGTTCCCAGAGACAAAATGTGCAGACAGATAGGTCTTCTGTTCATTTTGTGCAAAGAACATGTGAATGTTACTTAAAATTCATTGTTTTGTATCGTATTTTAACATTAAATTTATTTTTTAAATCATATTTAAATTTTGGTCTTCTGGACATAGTGAGGATTATAAATTAAAGATATTAGCACAGTCTTAAGTTATAAATTGTATTTTCATTGTACATTAAAAAATATAGTGTTTCTTTAAACTTCTTTTCACTTTGTACTGCATTGTTTTTCCAGGCATTTGCAAAACAGTTCCACTTAACTCCAGATGACTTGGATATGCATGTTATATATGATGTATCACACAATATTGCAAAAATTGAGGAGCATATAGTTGATGGAAAACAGAAAACACTCTTGGTCCACAGAAAGGTGAGATGACTTTTTGAATTACCATTACAACTAAGCTTGTTATTTCTGTAGTGTTTCTTCTAGTCTGTGTACAGAAAGTCTCTAAATTACAAACTGAACTAAATCCAGGGTAATGCATTTGAGAATTACCCCAGATTAACATGTATTTTATTTGTGTAATGTGTGTGGACCGCCTCGGTGGTCTAGCGGTCAGAACGCTGGCCTTGTAATCCTGGGTTCCCGGTTTGGATTCCCGGCGGTGCCCAAATTTATAACTTGTGTTGGGCAAGGCCATGGTCTAGGCAACACTGACTTTTCCTCCAGGGCTTCCCCAGTTTCTCCGTGGCACTCCATACACACAGAAGAAGGCAATGGCAAACCACTTCTGTATCACCTGCCTAAAAAACATATTTGAACAGGTCCCAGTCCGAGAAAAGTATGGAAGGATAATGTTCGTAATGTGTCGCCAACCTCCTGTAAAGGAGATGGCGTAATAAAGAAGAAGAATGTGTGTGTGTGTGTGTGGATATATTATGACCAGTTTCGTTAATTATTCAGGGATCTACTCGTGCTTTCCCACCTCATCACCCTCTCATTCCTGTGGACTACCAGCTGACAGGACAACCTGTTCTGATTGGTGGAACAATGGGAACTTGCAGCTATGTCCTTACGGGCACAGAACAAGGAATGCAGGAAACCTTTGGTTCAACTTGTCATGGTGCTGTAAGTGTAATCGGATAGTTTGATGTGTTGTTGTCTGTAATATTTCAGATCAGCTCAGTTTTGTTTCCAGCACGGTAAAATAACTATGCTGCTCGTCTTTCAGGGCCGGGCGCTTTCAAGAGCAAAGTCGAGACGAAATATTGATTACCAAGATGTGTTAAATAAACTGGAGGAAATGGGAATATCAATTCGTGTTGCTTCTCCGAAACTGGTCATGGAGGAAGCTCCAGAATCATACAAAAATGTTACCGATGTCGTTGACACCTGCCATGCTGCTGGAATTAGCAAGAAATGTATCAAACTGAGGCCTATTGCAGTCATTAAGGGTTGACTGTGATGTGAATTCATTGTATTAATTGAGTCTTGCAGAATCCTGGAAATCCAGGTACTCCGCATTGTTTCAGATGTACTTCAGAATTTAACAGTGGATTAATTAGTTCTGCTTCCTGTGAACTGTGAAGGAATCTACAAGACTGTTAAATGATGTGTGTCAATGAAGCGCCAAGAGTTTGAATATGGCCGCTATTTTCTGTTCATGTTTTCACACATTCCCGTTGATTAAAAATTCCTTATCTGTAAATAAATTATTTATTTTTCAAGTTACTGGATCAGAGAAGAGTCACAAATAATTAACAAAAATGGAAGAATGTGCTGTTACTGAAGTATACATTTTGCTCATGCATTCTTTATGAATTTATATTCTTTTTTTATTGCAGATATAAATTCATCGTGACAAAGTTGATCACACTACATATATGACTCTTCATAGAGTTAGAATTTTTTTTCTTCTGTATTAATTATCTACATTGTAAAAAAATGTTTCAAATAAAGTTGATTGAACAGACCATTTTGGAGAAAAATTTGTAAAGTTTCATCTGTACTTCGTTGAACCAGAATCAGATTTGTCGGATACTTTTTGATGTTATCTCTTCAATATAAAATTCCACAGAAATGTATGTAGCAGTTTCAAACATGAGATGTGAACAGGATGGACAGACTTTACTGTGGTTTGGTTCGAAGAACCCACATACAATCTACATGATCATATTTTTAATTAACACAGCACATCATGAAGTGCTCTTACTAATTTTATGGAGAAGAATATTTCTTGGTAAACTTGTAGTGGCTCAGCTAGTCAGAAAATTCCTAGCCTTTTATGGAGTGTGATGGTTTATTATTATATTTGCATAAACCCATCATTGGGTTCTATCTTGAGCTCCTTTAATCCAGGCAAAATGCTGTTTTTAATGTTTATTTTAATATTCCATCAGTTTCTAGGTCACCCCAAGTGGTATGTTAACTTCAGCTTTTCTGACTACAATTTGGTATGTATTTCTCATTTCCTCCATTTATTTGGCCTATCTCATCCTTGATTTGAATACCCTAATAATGTTTGGTGAATTCTGAAGCTCATCATTATGTAACATTTTCCATCATCCTCTCTCTTTGGTCCAGATATTTCACTCAGCGCTCTGTTCTCACAATCCTCAAACTGTGCTCTTCTCTTTGGGTGAGAGTCCACAGATTTTATGCATTGTGGCATGGGTTGTGTGGGGGTTAGAAGGATTATGGCAAACCAGGGCATTACATCCAGATGGTATTCTTCAGGTCTCACAGTGTTGCGCAGTAGCAGTCAGAATTAAAACTGGGACTCCTCAAACCCTGCCTGGCCTTGGTCAAGGCCACAAAATAGTACACCTCATGAAATGGTTATACTAAAAGATGGATCATTGGAGGATTAATGATTAACAGGAGAAAGACTTCCTACAGCGCCACTCCACCACGAATCTCATTGTGTCAGTCTTACTCACAGATGACCTAAATGTCACAGAATGTTAACTCTAGCAGTTCTATTGTCTGTGAAAGATCCTTCCAAGTGGGTGTGCTACTGGACTGACTTCAATGTCTCTCTGGCCTGCGCGTTGATCACATCTTTTCATATCCGTAAGCAGCAGTACCACGTGTTGAATAATAAAATCAGTGCAGAAACACATTGTCTATACCGGATCACATGAAACCAGGTACAATAACCTCAAAACTCAAGTTTCGCGCTTTGCGTGAGTGAAATTAATTTTATAAACACAGAGAGAATCAATAATGTTCTTGGGCGATATCTGCTATTCTCCATATTTTTTAAAAAATTTCGACGGATTAATTTTATTTTGTGAAACAAATAAGTGTAGCCATCATCATCTGTGTCTGCATTGGAAGTCTGGGAAAATGAAAGAAATATACATTTAAGAAACTACGTACATTTTCAGCTCCCACCAAAAAAAATTTACATGGCTGCCATTTTGCAACGTTCAAGGAAAGAATCTTTAAAAAAAAGTATAGTGAATAGCTGGCCGCATAATGACTGATATTTATCCTTCTGTACAAAATTCAGAAGTACTGACCTAATCAAAAGTATTATTACAATGCCATATAATCTAATTTCAGAGCTGTTGATCGAGCAGAAAGCTGGTTTGTCTGCACCGGACACATATGTACATATCAGGATCATAGGTAGTGCGAGGAGGAATGCAGTTGCGTTCGTCAAGCGTAGTAGCTGGAGCACGCCTTCGCAACATGGAGGAGTGGCCGTCTGATGTATCCACCAATCACGTAAGCAATTATTTCTCATCCGTCCTCACACAGCCTAGCATTGATGTGCTGAGAGATAGGACGAAATCGATTATAATTGTTCAAGACAAGATGTTAAATTGCAAAGAGGTTATTGTGGGTTGTGTTTCATTGTTCATTTCCTCCAGTGCCCCATTTATATGTGACAACGCGTATTTCGTGTAAGGAACCCTTGACAGTTGATCTATATGGGTTTATTATGATAAACCTTAATTTTTGAAATCAAATTATACATAGGCCAATAATGTGCCTGCTTTTTAAGATTCTTTCCTTATTTTAGAATGAACACAGGCGTCGGTTATAAAAAAGAGTTAAACATGGACGAAAGATCTTGTTTGAAAACACAAAATGACTTTTTCTGCGACTGGCTGCTATTATCAGTTTATATAGATAGATTATTATTAAGCCTATTGTAAACTGCACATACGTAATTCACCCTTCTTTCCCTTTCAGCTAGACCTGTCTGTCATACGAACCACCAACTAACACCCGTCAGTCATTTCTCTCAAAATTATGTCTTCCCGTTACTGGAGCGGCATGAATTGTAAGGAGGTAGTGTAGAGACAGAATGAAAACCGAACGTGTAATAATAATCCCCTTTATATTCCTCAACGCTCATCACTTACATTTGAACAAAAATCCGATCAGAATTTACGAGCGATGCTTATCTGTCGCATAACAAATGAAACTGAAATCATCATAGTCGTAGGAAATAAGGAACTAAAGATAGCTTGTCAGATGCATCTTAAATTTGGCAGAAAGAAAATGACGGCCATTTCCGGAAGTAAAAACAAACCAGCATTTCATGTTCGTGTGTTCGTAGGGAAACATATCAGCCACAGAGGCAGTGACTGAAGCAAGACGATGAAAGACGAAAAACGGAATTAGTCAGATCCCTGTTAATGCTGTAGTAGGAGAAGAAAACTTAGAAAGAGCTAGCATAATTACGTATTGTTCTTACGTATCGATCATCAATTTGTATCACAGAACCACACGTCAGACACACTATATGATTAGTGAAAGAACATGATGAGACTGATGTGATTTGCTTAGTATGCCAAAGTAGAGCAGTTAGGAGCAGGAGAGCAGATAGATAGGAAAGGTGGGCAGGAATGAAATGTACATGTGGATCTAGGTCACGCACGCAGACACGTGCTGCCTTGCATTAGCACAGGATGTCAAAGGCACGAAGCCTGTAACGTGTGTTCACTTTAAGTACGACAAAAATCATGAAGAATATGAAAGACCGAGAAGATTCATATTAGGCCCATAATGTGTTATATTTGTGAGAAGTAGTTTCATTGGTTAATTACTACATGTGATGACGTCTGTACTACAGAGGTTTTAACCGTCAAATAAGATGGGAAATTCTGTAAGGTTTACCGTAATATCCGTGCATTAGCCTGGAGAGACTGAACAAAAACATTCCGTATGGACTATAGACAGTTTTCTTTCAAGTGGGAACTGGTATTTAAGACCTAATTTTTATTTAGGTGAACTTCGTAATTCTTGTTCGTCATTTTTCACACTTTTGTAAGCGTTTGAGTAGTTCGTCCTCTGGTTCTGCGTTAACTTAATAAAATACATGATATTTGAACTATCCGTGGTTGTCTCATGGATTTTCGACCCAGTCGGGCCAGGTCTGGATCTCCTGGTAGAGAGCAAGCCCGGGGCTCTTCGTGGCCGAGATTTGGCGACCCCCAAGCAACTTGTAATGTTCCGCCAGTTCCCCCTCCTTGACACCGCACTTCAACAGACGCTTCAATGCGTCCAACTGCACTCGGGGAGGCAACGAGTCTGTGAAGAAAATCGACTTTGTAACACATTCAGTTCTGATTTCGTGAATCTACTCTGTTATCCAATTTAATTTTAAAAACTTAGAAATATCCTGGTATCAGTAATCATAACGTAGGCCTATACGTACAGTGATGGGCCTACAGAATATATTACGTCGTTTCTGCCTTCAAAACCTTCGTACGTGAATACGTCATGTCATAATTACATGAAGTTTTCCTTTGGGTGCAATTCATATGACTGCTAAGCTTTCTTTGTTGAACTGAATCGTATTTAGGGAATAAGTTTGTTTCAGTTTCTCCCCCCCCCCTTCCCCCACAAAAAAATTAGGCAACGGCAAAGGAAGATTTCCGTACAAACGAACGCACAATTTGGAGGCCCCCATCTGTCCTTCAGTTTTGTATTTCATTTCCGAAACCACTAGGCAGATTTCGAAACAACTGCGTATTGATATTTATACACTGAAAGTTGTTGTTTCCTATCTGAGTTTTATTAAACGACGCTGTCAATAGCTCAGACCATATAGAGCCAAGTGACAGGATGATTAGTGAATAATGAATTAGAAAGGATATGGAAGGAAACGGTTGTGGCCTAATGTAAGGTAACTTACTATCCCGGCATTTGCCTGAAGGGGCTGAGTAACCTCACTCAGGATACCTAATTTCCGGACCGAAATTTGAGCCGCAGACCTCTCGAATAGGAAGCAGGAGTGCCAACCTCACGACAGTGACATTCATTTGACCCACATCACTCGGATATAACTTCCACTTTATGTAAACTAAACCTATAGTCAAACTTTTTATATTTTTTGTCAAAACCGCATATCCTACTCGTAGAGACAAACTCAAAATACAGCCTAGATGTCGTTAGGATCTTCAGTATATTCGAGACGTTTCTGTATGCCGTCGCCTGTTTAACGAGGTGGAAGGAAACGTGTTCTGTGGTTCCATCCGCTGTTTTTGTTTATGTAGGCATTAATAGGCATTAGCGATGCAGGTGAAACAAATGAACATCAAGAACAATTAGGCATAATTTATAGAACCCATTTGGCCTAATGAAATTGAAGTGCACACACACAGGCTAATTTTATTTCGTTTTCTGTTGGGGATTGTGAGGTTTCTTCTGTAGGCCTTGAGCCTATTTTCTTGGTTAAATGACAGCGTACCAAATACGAAACAGTTAACAGAACGTTGTTATAGCAGAACTACAATGTTTACAGGGAACTGTATGAGCTACTTACCACTGAATTCCCCTATCAGTGCAATGCCGACACTCTTTTTGTTGAAGCCATAGGTGTGGGCCCCAACTTGGTGCCACCCGCGGCCTTCATAAACGTTACCATCCCCACCTACCAGGAACCTGTGCAGAAATAATAATATCGGTACAAAAATTGCTGCAGGAAAAATTCTTGCCTGTGGGAAGTGCGGATATTTAATACCGTGTTTTCCAAGCCCAATAAATCCTGAGCCAATAGAAATTGTGTTAAATTGTTTTTATGGGGAAGGGACTTCATCCGTCGTCTAGGTGTTATTAAAACCCCAGCGTTGACGTTGATTGGTTTTACTTCCAGCTTCATATCGAAGGAGGACAAGACGTAATCTGCCTGGCTCCCTGATCGAATTAGTCTCAAAGCCAGTAGTGCTGTATCAACTGTAGAAGTTATTTAGCATTGAATGTTAAGATAAAATGGCTAGAACTAGGCCTGTGTACTGTGCGTTTGAAAATGCAACGCCGAAAGTCACTCAGCAAGTCTGCATAAAACAATATTATTTTTATTTTTATTATTAGTGTTCTGTCTGACGACAGGTCCATATGAACAGGATCCTTCCATCCTTTTCTCGGACTGGGACCTGTTCATATACGTTCTTGGCAGATGATCCAGAAGTGGTTTGCCATTGCCTTCTTCTGTGTGTGAATGGAGTAATTATTGGGATGCCACAGAGAAACCGGGGAAGTCCCCGGAGGAAAACTCCGTGTTGCCTAGACCACGGCCTTGCCCAACACAAGTTATAAATTCGGGCACCGCCGGGAATCGAACCCGAGACCCCAGGATTACAAGGCCAGCGTTCTAACCGCTAGACCACCGTGGAAAACAATATACTCAGTATAATCGGTTTTGCGACCCAGATTCGAACCGTTTACGTCTTGTAGCTACTCAAATCAGGTATGCAGGCCAACTACCTCTGTGTCAACCTTCTCAGTACGAGCAGTGGGCAGTGACTTCATAACAGTAGGTGAGTCGTCGAGGCATTATGTTATCAAGGGGGTCCGGTCGTTTGAAATCCTCCGGATTTGCAGGAGGCCTGTGGCAGTGGGCTGTCCTGTTACTTTTTGCCCCTTACGTTTTTGTTTTTGTCAACATTTGATCAAAGTCTTCTCAGTAGTTTGGAAATTGAAACATTCCTGACAGACCTACGACATTGCTATCCTCATTCAACGTTTATTGTAAGTAAACCGCGAATCCGATGCTGTGTAACGTCTTATCTTGTCTTGTTTTTGTTGTTTGTTTTTGTATGCGATTAACGTCACCACATCCGCTTGAGAAACGTGTTTAAATATGACGTCATTCCTGAGGTCCAAGGTGGCCAGCTGCGAGAAATTTGTTGCAAGCGTCATCATCATTCGTGCATTTGTCTTTCTATGAATAAGGGCACACATTTCGCACAGTCAGGTAAAACCTTGTGTTAATTCCGTGTAAGAAGGAACTATGTGCTGGAAAATGGAATTCTTCGGTGCAGAAGGGGAATCACTTCGGTTTTGTTAGTAGCGAAATCAAAGCGTGATTAATTCGTGAACATTTGTAAAGGAGAAAAGCTTGAGGTTTCTAATGACATGGGAGTTTCGTGAAAATCGGTCAGTCGGATAACGCATATCATATTGGTGTTCGAAACTTAAGCAGGGGACGAACAGATAAGCACTATAGACAATCATGCAGCATTTTTGGCCAAAAACCCTCAAAGTAACTTACTATTTGGAAGACGTAGGCAAAACCATAAATCGACGTAATTGAAAAGGATGAAGATACTGTTCGCAAAAACAATTGTGACCGTGTGAGTAACTCTAAATTTCTGAAGATAATATCATCTGCGAAACAAAAACGGGGAAAAAAAAAGTTCTTAGATAAAATTAACTTACGAAAAACCAATATCATCCCAGCCATTTGTGTTAACGTGAAATGAGTGTATGCTGGACACTTTCTCCACACACTCAGCCATGGAATTACATTTTGGAGTTACCGTGTGGTGGATGATTGCGTACTCTACAGGAATTTTCATGTATTCCACGTGCTTTGAGGGTCTTGCGCCCCAGCCAGATCTGCTGATAATCCTGGGACAGTCATCTTCCCCTGTGGAAACAGGAATTCACGTGTAAAATTCTTAAGTTCAGTTCATCTGACGTCCTTAACTAATAACCTCTGCTTTACATTCATCATAAATTTAACTTCCCATACTGGGATAAACTGAAACACGTTCCTATGTCAGTAGCAAAAGCAGAAAGTTGGAGATAGAGGCAGTATGTTCCTTCCTCCAAAATGCTGGTATATATCTATAGGTTCACAAGGCCCAGAAGTCCAAGATTGACTTTAATATTTCATTAGCTCAGCTTATACAGGATCGAAAGAGAGGATGATAGTGAATAATGAATTGGAAAGTATGTGGAAGGAAGCATGCTCTTATCACTTCCCTGAAACCCCCAAGATCGAACCTACAGTCTGACCCATACGCCTCATTAAAGGTAGGCTACGTGTCTGTGAGTAAATTCGACTGTGAGGTTCTGAAGGCGTCGAGTACGAAGGTGGATGTCTTCTGAGTTGTTGCGCCGAGAAGTCTGGTAGATGTTTTCGACGTTTCAGAGGTGCTTACTGCCATCGCCCAGATGGTGGAGGCAGAAAGGACCTCTCAAATGACGGTGAACTTCTACCAGACTTTTGTTGTTCCAAATTTAACTTCACTTTGTTGAAACACTTCAGAATTTGATTTTATATCCGACAACCGTTATGCACATCAGACATTTCGAAATAAAAGCCAGTCACTCGAACAATTAGCCAGGTTGTCTTACCTTCTGTTGGCCTGATAGCTGTCATCAAAGCAACGAGCAATGCGGTGTTGAACAGTTCCATGGTCGTAACTTCTGTGATTGCTTCAAAGTTCGTCGTGGCAGCATTTATATTCCATTACGATTAGCGTGCCAAGTGTGGCGAGAAACTCCCGGACGTGTTCTATGTGTAGTACAAAAACGAGCTAAGTCATAATTTTAATTACGCTCATTCATTATAACATTTCATAGTGAGGTACAATGTGTCTTCTGAAACGTGTGTCTATCAAATTGCAATAGAATTAACTATAATGAAAATTATCTGATAGAACTGTTTTAAAAATAGCATTTTATCTTCATTTCGAGTAAAATTGGGTCGTAGAGATCTATTTGGAAATTATGATAATTCTTGAACCATTTATTGTGGCAAAAATTAAGGATTTGTGTAATTAATTGTGTAGCTCTAAAAAATATGAATGATGTCGCGATTAAAAATTATAAGAGACGGTAGTGGCCTATTTCAAAATAGGTTGCTCTCACGGCATTCGTCTGGAGAGACTAAAGAATTCACACGAGAAATCTAAGGATAACAGATAATTTGATCGAGATTTGAACCGCGTATTCCTTTAACGTTACAGTCATATAGTTCTTAGACCAATATTGACGTTAAACGCTGACTCAGTTTCTTAGCATTCGGTCTTTGTTTGATGCAGTCAACGGAGTGTGAAACGTCTCTTCCTGTAGTTTACATCCGTTCGTATGATACGTTAATGACATTTCCTGAAACAATAATGGGAAACTGTTTCCTTCCCGAGTCATAAATATTGTTACATGATTATGATTATGCTTACCACATCCTGATCGAGGTGACTGTAAAGGTTGGTAACACTGTGAGGCAGGACAAGGTCGGGGCGTTTTAGATTAAATATGAAAATTGTTCTTTCAGTAGGAATCCTGTGGGGTCGAAAAAATTCATTCGCAGTGGAAGGTCACTAATTTCCGACCATCCATTCAATATTCATGAAATTCGTGCTCGGGACACAGTTTTGCTGACTCAAAATACCCCGTTTTGGTTGAGTTGGGTTGGGTTAGGTTAGGTTTGTGGGGCATCTGAATGAAAAGTTAAAACAAGAGCTAGATATAAAGTATAATGTCCTGGACAAAAATAAATTAGATAATCTGACAGCAGTTTGACTACCCGTGAAAAACCGACTGCAACGAGCATTTTTCAAAAGAATTGAGAATTTATCACAAGTCACGTTTAATCACAGCGAAATAGATCCTCAAAGTAAGGGATTCCAACACAACCTACAATGTACAATCTCCAAGGAATGTTTTTGTTTTCTGTAGATCCACGCATATGTGTGAAGAAGACTAATTTTAAAGTTGAATACAAATATCTATAATCAAAACATGTTTTTCGCTAGCAGTTTTCAAACCTCACCTGACCTCATTCCTAATGAAAATCAGATTACTTAATGGTTTAGTACATTTAATTAAGGGGATTATGGATTAGTATGGATGAATTTCTTATTATAATTACGTCATTGTTTAAGGAAATCTCATGTTGATGGAAAACCTTCAAATGACCAATAAAAGTTGTGTGAATATTATTATACACATCATCATTCTTACCCTGACAGATGGATTACTTACGATAGCAGGGTTTAAAAATTATTCATGGTATATGAATAGTCTTTGTGGTGGAGGGAGAAATTATGTAGAAAATTGAAGAATAGTTAACCTATTACCGACTGGGCTACTGTCACGTCGCCGTTGTGTTTACTTGTGAATCGATTGCAGGTCGCAGCACAGTACGAACGGTACTACTTTGTCGTACAATAGCGTTGGAGTTACACATCTAGGCGTCAGTGTTTTGTTATCTCTGATTATTTTATGTTTTCATACCGTCTTTAGCCAGGTTAATGGTATGTAAAACGTATATCATTTATGTAATATAATGTTTTTCATGTAACACATTGTGATTATATGCTTGGATTGATAATCGAAAACTGAATTGGTTCTTTGTTTAAAGATATTCTTGAACTTGTGCGTTTGGAAGTAAGGTGTGGTACGCTACAAAATCGGGTAATATAGATGAAACTCTGAATGTATGGAACAAGAGAAATTACATTTACTGAATTCATAGAAATTTATTGCTGTATACCTTTTAATGTTTAACGTTATGTCTTCCTGTACCTAGCACTGAAATTTGCAACTTTTGACTAGTATTCTATATTCAGCCCTCCATGTGTTTTCTATTTTTGTACGTGTCAAAGAGAAGGAATACTCTCTATGACCGGTACTAGGTTTTGTATAATTGTTATACTACTTTTAATGACGTAACTATTTTGAGGTTAACCAACCAACCAAAAAGCTCCTGCGCAAGCGCAAGATATCGTTCCTTGATATGTAACACCATTCTTGCGTACGAATCGAATTGCTGGGAATGTCAAAAAAAGCCTTATAATTAAAACGGGAATTTGTTTACGCTAACGGGGTTTTGTTGCGGCAGAAGCATTGACTATTCAAACTAGTGTCTGTTGCTGCTGATGAGAGGGTATCCCGTTAGGCATCTTGTCCTTCGTGCAAAGGATTTTGGTTTGTATTTTGAGGTTATAGTTTGTACGTTTATTTTATAATCACATAGAGGCACAGTAACTGACGATATTACTCGGGTATTCAGACTGCTAGGCATTCCATGTTTCATGGTTCATATTACAAGTTTTGCTAACTGTTCAAAATCATGAACTAAAGTATACAATTCTGTACATCAGTTTAAATTGCTTCCCATTACACCATCAGAGTTCATAATCTTTCATCTTTTTCTTGTTTTATATAAAATAGACTTTGCAGATGATGGTATGTTACAATAAGAAGTGAACATGTACCACACTCCACATTAGTGATAAATATGGAGCTTCCCTTTGAATTTATCTTAATCATTTCCCTCCATCTGGAAGTTGATCGCTCAGTCAGTATAGTGACTAGGCTATGGGATGGACATCTGGCTTCAATTCCCAACAATGGAGGATCTTTCTCTCCACTGCAACATCCAGACTGATTTTTGGGCTTACTCAGTCTCCTATCTAGTCAGTACCAGTATTTTTTTGTTCGAGGTAAAGCATTTTGGGTTAAGAAATGTATGGACCTATACTTCTACTCCATACATCTGCATGGTATGATGCTTAGTTAAGCACCAGAGACAACGTTACCTTTATTTCTGACATCTAATGTGAAATGTCTGGTGAGTTTTATTTTCACTGTTGAATGATAATATGGATAAAATGTTAAAGTTTTCCTTGTGACTAATGTTCATTTTCTGAACTCTAACAATATTTTATTTTTATGTCCATTCTTTCACTACTTCATTTTGCTTATTATTCACCTTGTCAATCTTAAAACATTATAATCATATCCATTTATTTTTCTCTGATGGGTTGGGATGGTTCATCCTCCATTCTGCATCCTTTCATAAGTGCTTCACATGAATCTGTATGCACATTTTTCCTTTTCTTTTCTTTTACTATCATCAAATCTGTGATGTCCTCAAGTGATAAGTTGTTCAACATTAATTTCTTATGCTTTCAAAGGCATGACCTTATCACTATATTTCTATTTCCAGTCTCAGACATATTCTCCAAAAATTTAGTTTTGCTGACTATTTCAATCTGTTTTAGTATTCAGTATGATACAATATTTATACAGATGATTACCTTGTGTTCATGTGTACTTGAAGAGTGTTTTGTTTTCAGGTACAATGGGAAAGCTGGAATTGATACAAACTCTGTTAGGTCACGAAGGTCGTGTTTGGGATGTATGTTGGCACCCGCAGGGTAACACATTAGCATCTTGTGGCGAGGACAAAACCATACGTATCTGGGGTAGGGAAGGTTCAAAATGGGCCAACAAGACTATTCTAGCTGATGGCCATCAGAGAACAATTCGAGAGGTAGCATGGTCTCCTTGTGGAAATTACTTGGCCTCTGCAAGCTTTGATGCAACAACTGCAGTCTGGGATAAGAAAAGTGGGCAGTTTGAATGTAATGCCACATTGGAAGGCCATGAAAATGAGGTTAAAAGTGTTGCGTGGGCAAAATCAGGACATTTGTTAGCAACTTGTAGCAGAGATAAAAGTGTCTGGGTGTGGGAGGTTGCAGATGATGATGAGTATGAATGTGCTGCTGTGTTGAATGCTCACACACAAGATGTAAAGAAAGTGGTGTGGCATCCACATCTTGATATTCTTGCTTCTGCTAGTTACGATAATACTATAAAATTTTTTAAAGAAGATGTGTCAGATAATGATTGGATTTGTATTGCAACATTAGTTTCTCATGAATCAACTGTTTGGAGTTTGGCTTTTGATAGTACTGGAACTCGCCTTGCAAGTTGCAGTGACGATCATACTGTGAAGATATGGCAGCAGTATCTTCCTGGCAATACTGAAGGAATTATGACACCTGGCAATGAACCTGTTTGGAAATGTGTGTGTACACTTTCTGGTTACCACAGTCGTACTGTGTATGACATATCCTGGTGTCATAATACAGGACTAATTGCAACTGCTTGTGGTGATGATATCATTAGAATTTTTAAGGAAGTGGAAGATTCTGATCCTAATGAACCAAGTTTTGTATTGTACCATGCCTGTCACGGGGCTCATACTCAGGATGTGAATTCCGTCATGTGGAATCCAGCTGTTCCGGGACTTCTCGCGTCAACAAGTGATGATGCTGAAGTGAAAATTTGGCAGTTCACAGACTAAATATAAAGAATAGCCATTTTTAAATTTCAAAAACATTGTTAGATTTGATTAATTTATGACATTTATTCAAGGATGATGTATATTAACTACAAAGTGTGCATATGTGATGTCAAAATATATTGTATCTCTTTATTATAGGTTTATTTCTTATTTTTTCTTTTACATTTTTACATTAGTGTAGACATTCTTTGGGTTTATCCATTCATGATGAATGTTGTGATAATTGTTGGTTCTTTTTTTTAATGGTGGCCTAACGCTCAGTTACTTCAGAATTATAGCAATATTAAAGTTGCATTCCTTAAAAGCATAGATCTTAGAATAATCAAATAAATACTTTTGTTTTCTGATCTGCATACCTTTTCTACTGTTCCTGTATCTTCAAGTCCTTACTATTTTCTCTGTCCATTTTGCTTTCATTTGTCATCATTGCAATAGTCACATTCACCAGCACAGAGTTTGTGTTGACTTTCATGCAGCCATTGACATGACAGTTGTCTTTAAAATGAAGTTTAGGTAGAACTGTTATTAGAGTGAGCATAAAAACATGACATAGTTCAAATGTTTAGAAATGATAACAGTGTTTTTAGGTAAACAGCAAATTACATATGGGAATGGATGTTACAATTTAGTTTGTAACTATTCTCTTCTCATATTCTCTGTAATATATTAGGTATCTTGATTGCAGTGTTTGAATTGCAGAGTCAAATTAGTAAAATTGTAATTAACTTAAGAGTTCAGAATGAGGCAGTCATGACTTCACTTGGAGAGAGACTGAAGAAAACCAGAATGAATAGTAACCTGGCTGAGATTGAGACTGAGTATTCGTAAATACAAATCCAAAGCATTGCACCTACACCAACCTTCTCAGTGTATTCTGCCTAAGCACTGAAAGAGTAAAATACACACAACTGTAATTTTATCTCTTTTCTTAAGTGGATGAGAGACTTAGCCTTAGATCTAAGAAATATGGAGCCTATTTCTTTGAGTTCAGTGGAAGCATGATTTTCTGCAGTGAATTGCAAATGTATCAGTTGTGGCCTGTATTAAAGTGTTATACCATCATGCTCTCAGCGAGACAACTTTCTAACCAAACAAGACATGTTATATTTATTGGTGAAGTGCTTTATGTTTATCATATCAGCATTTATTATTTTTCTTTCCAGGTGCTGTGATAGAGTACAAAGAACTTCGGTCACTATAGAGTCATTGAATTGGCAGATGATTTTGTCTTTTTTATCTGGAAATAAGTTACAACAGACATGTTCTGTCCCATTAAAATGTCTGATAAATGCCTGGTACAACAAGTATAATTGTTCATATCCATGCAGGAACATTCAGAACTCAAAAGCATTAAAGTTTGTCACTAATCAGCTTCCAAAGGATAATCAGAAACTTGACTTTTATGTGACACGTGAATATTCAGTGATGGCAAATGCAGATAGTTATGGCCTTTCACTGAATGATGTGATTGCAAAATTAGATAATTTTGCTCCAAAATCATTGGCTGAATCGTGGGATAACGTTGGGCTTTTGGTTGAGCCAGTCACCAAGAAGAATGTGAGAAAGATTCTTCTCACCAATGACCTGACGGAAGATGTGATGGAAGAAGCTGTCAATTTATGTACTGATCTTATCATCTCTTACCATCCTCCCATTTTTGCACTGCTGAAGTCCATCACTGGAAGAACATGGAAGGTAAGATTTAAGCCTGTGTGACACCTATATATCCTTTACTCATTTTCCTCCTCTTGTTTTTTTTGCACTTCACATGTTTCTTCTGCTCCCTCGTCACACCTCACTCTGTACCTTTGCATATCATTGATAAACCGACACCCTCCTCTGTTTCTATACTTAGCAAAATGAAGGTATGTGAAGGATGTCCGTACAGAGAGAGATACACAAATTTGTATACCTGGCATTAGATAATTTAATTGACCAAGTTATCTGGATTCCTAGTTTAGATATTATACAGTGTACAAAATTTATCATAACACAGTAAAGCTATGATGACAGGAACAGATACACCAATTACAGTAGGGATGATGATAATAATAATAATAATGAAAATATATCTTGTTTGATAAATGAAATATTACAAGATAATTTTTATATTGAAAATAAAATAATAGTTGTGTACTCTGTTCTTACAAGAGTTCTGAATATTGTGTAAACTGAAAAGATAAATACATACAATAGATTAAAGAACAAATAAAGAATAAATTAGTATTACTGTTATGCCCAGAATTTTGGAGTCCTAACCTATCATCGAGTATGTCCTGGTGTGTGTTTCTCTTGGGATTAGATGGTCAGTGTGTGCAGATGATGACTAGGTATAAAATGTATTCCACCAGTGTCTTCTTGGAGTGATGCTTAGGCAAAAGGGCAGTTTTAGCCTTTTCCTTGTATACCAGTGGCGTCATTTGAATGCTTTTGCAGTTTTAGTAATAAATGAATTGTGAGCATTATTTGCTGGAATTTGAGGAATTGTTGTACCAATGCTGTAGTTTAAGAGATGCTCAAATTTCTTCATCTGTATATTTACTGTGTTTGGTTTAATAATTATACTTTTATTGGCATTTATATGGTCCTCACTCTTTGAATTTCAGGAGCGTATAATTGCTACTTGTCTTGAGAACAGAATTGCAGTGTATTCTCCTCATACAAGTTTTGATGCTGTTTCTGGTGGAGTAAATGATTGGCTCGCAAATGGATTTGGTATGTCTTAATGAATAGCATATAGCAGTGTCAGGAAAGAAAATGACAGCCTTGCCTTTTTTCAAGACTTTCCCTAACAAAATCCATTTCACATTGTCTTTATTGAGTAATTAATATTTACTCAACTGCTGAAGAAGTCCCTGCTTTTATGGAAGTTTCATTACTGTGTTCACAAAAGCTTGCCATTGGCTCTTATGAGGCAGTTGAATTTGATTCACACCCTATTTCTCCAAGACTTGTTTTAATATTATCCTCGCCTCTGCATAGGACCTCCAAGTAGTTACTTACCCTGCAGTTTCCTGGCAAAAATTTTGTGTGTATTTCTTATTTCCTCCATACATGCCACTTGTTCTACTTAAGTCATCCTTCACTTAATCAGTGGTAGTTATATTGGCCTAATAAAAATTACAAAGCTCTTCATTATGTAATTTTTCCCATCCATGCATTACTTACGTCTTTGGTCCAAATATTATCATCATAATTTTGTTCTCAGTCATTATCAATCCATATTCATTCTTTAAAGTGAGAAGGTAATAGAAATGTATTGAACATATTCCAAAGTGTAATATTTCAAAATTGTTTTTATTTTGTATCTTAGCGAGACTGTTGGTTTTTGATGATTTACAGAAACGGAATCAGTGAGACCTCTGATTCAGAGTGATTCAGCTGATATTGGATCAAAACTTTATCAAGTGGAAATCACTGGTTTTACAGAATCAGCTTTGGATCAAATAAAGAAAGATGTGGAAAGGAACACCAGAGGCGCTCAAGAGGAACTGGTTGGTGATGTGTCAGTATTGAACTTGTAGTTCATCATTAAATGTGGTTTTGTATCGGATTAGTGTCTAGGGGGATAGAAGTGTTAATAAATATAGTCTGAAGTGGATATTGAAATGCAAGGAAAAGTGAAGTATCCCTCTGTTTCTTATTAGATTTATCAACAAAACATTTGTGTTTGCACTAAAGAAATGAAAGATTTTATATGTAGATATTGTAAAATTTGCTTATTTGAGAGGTGTTGGATCAAGTGCGTCTGGTCAACTGGCATGTACGTTCAACCATTATGTAATTATTATAATGAATTTCTTTGTTCTAGTTCTGTATCATGTGGGGAAATGAAACTGACTATCTCCTGTTCCAAATCATCTGTGCCACTTTTGGC